TCTTTCCTCTGCAGTCACAGAGATTACTGTCCTGGCTCAGAGTCACTGAAGAGGTAATCTGAGGTTTGGAGAAAATAAATGCAGAGGGCGCAGCGAAGAAAGCAGCAGATAAAGAAGCTGTCAGTGTAGGAAATATTATCTGAGTAATACCACCTACTCCCGAGAAATCTCCAAAGCCTTTTATTGCATGACAAGGCTGGTCGTGCAGGGCTACTTTTCTGCTTGCTGCTAAATGGCATGCGTCAACCAGGGAGTGTTTCTCAGAGACAAAATGGTTCATGGCTGCTGGCAGCATCAGCAGTCTGAGATGTTACAGCAATTGGTTTAGCATGAGATTATGTTGGTGTGAAGGGTTTTATAGTGTCAGGGGATTGTGGGAAATTATCCATTGAAAGGGAGAGAATTTTGAGTGTAGTCTAAAGTATCTGCTGACTTTTTCATTTAAAAATATTCAAGATGTGTCCTACTTCTTTAGCAGTGTATTACAATGCTCCAATAACTTGGAGTCCTCCAGTCACATGACATAAAAGCTATTGAAAACAATATAGACTTTTTTTTAAAAGAAAATGCTTAAGTTCCATAACAATACTAACAACACTAAAATCCAACAAAAACATCTATGTCATAACCTTCTAGTGTAATAAAAAAAAAAAAATGCTTAAATGATTTGGAGTCACATTACAAGAAAGCTATTGAAAAATATATTTTGTTATACTTTTTTAAAATCAATTCAGTAATAATAATTGTTACGTCCCCACTAAGGTCTAGGGGACCTGGAGACAATAACACACCACAACCAATAATTATGAGGGAGTCAGCGTAAAGGTTGACAAAAGGTTTATTCCTTGAACAACCTAACTGAACAGAAGTTTAACAGAAATACTCTTTGTGTGAGGAGGAGGAGGAGGAGGAGGAGGAGGAGGAGTCAAAGGAGATTGTGCCAAACAAAAGAAATAAGCATAACAAAACCAGGCCTATCTCTACATCTATCCTTTGAAACCAAAACTCAAACAAAAACCCTCACTAACTAAACTACTCAAAGCTGAACAAAACAGAACAGAGGGGTGGCAACAATCCGCTAACCTAGTGTGTCTAAACATTAGTTACCTACGTGATGAGAAATGTACAGGGTACCCCAGACTTACCTAACTCCCCCACCTCTCAACACACACACATTAACAAAGGTTAGAACAAAGTAGAATGAGCTTCTAAACAAGGCAGTCAATTGCAGGCTCCTCAATCAGCAACAGGCCCAGGGTGAGAGAGAGAAGACTTCCTGGGTGCCTCCTTTATGGTCGGCCCTGGCTGCTGATAGGCCAGCTGAGGGTGAGAGGATCCAATCAGACTCAGGTGCACAGGCAGATACCGATCAGCTGCTGATTAGCTGTGCAGAAGACAGGAAGAAGAGAGACACACAGGAGGGAAGAAAAACAACACAAGTACAGCCTGCCTGGCACGTAACAATAATATTCAGTAATATTTTAGCATTGTTTTCACTATTACCGGTCATTACATATATGACATAATTATCATTTGCTGATTAATTTGAATAGCCTTTTTCATTAATACATTACTTATTTTCCCAGTAAATATATTCTAGTGTTGTTTGAGATGATACAATTGACCGTTCACAGTCAGTTAAACATGCCTTGGATTTCAGGCTGGGTTTTCATTCTCAGTGTTCTCGTGGTTTGTGCTGGCGTGTAGAATCACATAAACTCCCTGAAATACCTCCGACATTTTACAATTCAGTGTTGTTTTGTCCGTAATGGGAATACAATTGTATGCGGAACAGGCTGTTCCAGCATGCAACAAACAGTAAATAAGGCTTACTCTGCCAGGAGGTAATGGTATACAGCATGCTGGACTCCCCTCTGAGAAGTCAGCACTCAGCTCCAGGAACTCAGCTCTTCTCCATTTTTACATTTGTTGTGTTTTTAATGTGTATGGTCATTGCCTTTAGAAGTCTTTTAATGCCATATTGCATCCCTACAGGGAAGAAGATGTGATATCCAATTATGAGATGCACTATTCCAAAACAAATATTTCTGTTTTTACAATCAACAAGCACATTTCCATGTATTCAAATGTTACAGACCATAAAGATTGTGTATGTCATCTTACATCCAGTGTGTCCCAACATTTAATTTCAAATGGACAGACAAAATAAAGGCATGTATGTGTTTCTATTCTGAGAATTGAAATGTAATCACAATAATTATTTTCTTCTACCTCAGATATCTCCAAACATTACCTAAGCATTGTGTAGTAACAAGAAACCATTCTTCCCTCCCCTCTGGCTCTATTACAGTGAACTAAAACCTCACTTATTCTTCTCGGATCAGTCTTTATCGGTAGCCTAATTATGATTTATAGCCAATGCAGCCGTGACTGGTGAATAGTGGTATAGTGAGTGCATTTGTGCTGCTGTGCGAGATCTCTGTTGTAGCCTCCAGCTGAGTGGAGTTCATTTTGAACAGCAGAGCAGAGAGGTGAACCATACAGTTAATGATAGCTGTGAGGAGTATAGGCTGTAACGAAACTACTCCAAATCCAAACCTGAAGAGAAATAGCTTTATGTTTTCAATTTTCCTGAGCTCTACACAATGGTGGATGTTTTCTCACCAGACATGAAACAGCCCATCTTGCTGTTTTAATTGAGCAGTGCTGGCAGTGCAGTGATGTACCATGCAAGAACCGGTTCTGGTTGGTTTCCAGGTCAATACTGAAACCGCAGGTCCACCCTGATCTCTGATTAGAGTTGGAATTGCTTCTGCACACCTTCCTTGCTCTGTTAAATGGATAAAAAACAAATACAGAGTCCAGAGGGAAATTCAGTGGGTGCTTCCCCCACTGACAACTGACCTTATTGTTTCACAAACGCTAACTATAGGTGTTTGTTGACAACACTGCTCTGAAAAATTCAAAGTTGCAAGCTGCAGCAAATTATTTTAATGTTTATCTTAGAGAATGTAATATCCATCTGTAGTTTTTTTATCAGCTTAAGCACTCAAAATGTTGTTTTAAGTAACACATTTCATTCGTTACTGCATTGCCAACATGCAGACATTGATTCATGCAGGTGTATAAAGTCTTATTTGAAGATACTGCTGATGGAAATCCATGAGGTAATAGTCCAATATTTTACCAATTTGAAAAACAAATTTAAAACCTCAATGTTTTGAGACAATCTCTTTCTTACCAAGAGTAAGGTTTAGAGAATCTAGCTAGTTTAGCTTAGTTTAACCCAAAATCTGAGACTGTTTGTGAATGTCTACTTTGGCTTATAAAATGTAGCCTGCCAGAACTCCAGAGTAATTGGTGTAATTAGTTCTTAGCAGAACTCTCTCTTCAATGGTTTGCACATTATACATTTGAAACGTTACATATAAGTAGGGTATAATTCCATGTCATTAGCTGTTGATTTTCCTCCTGGCTGCCAGTCAGGGGTTATTGTTCAGGCGGTAAGTGGGTTTGCGAGGGAGGTGTTGGCTCCATCTTAGGCCGGTAATTTATGGCTCCAGCTGCTGTCTCCCTCTCCCCAGGTGGACTGCTGGATGCGTGAGCAGTGCATTTCATTAGGGGCAGAAAACCCCATTTCTAAGGGGAATACATTCTGCGAGAGGACAATGCTTATCCCTGATTGGTCACCAGGCTCTCGCGGGTATAGATTTCTCGATACATATCAACCATCCTGTTGAGAGCCAAAAAGCTGCAATCTAAATCTCATGAGTGGAGCTTTACAAATCTGTGATCCCTCACTGACAGTTGGATCCATAAAAAAAAAAAGAAATGTGGACAGCTAAGCTTAGCTGAGGGAATTCTACACATAAAAGACTGTTTACATAACTGTTTCACTCAAGGTTATTCTCAGTTCACTGCAAACAGCAGATTTAGTATACGTTTGTATCCCATTTTAGATGCCCATCCTTCTGGATCATATTGGCCCACTTGTCGGTGACTTTAGAAAAATAAACAGACAAATACAAAATGCTTATAATGCGCCACCTGATTCTTCCCATTTGCAGTAGTTTAGCTTCTTGTAAACTGCATGCAACATAGTACACCTGGGAGGGGAAGAGAAACATGACACCGATACATTGTCAAGTACACAGTATTCTGTTATGACAACCTAACATATTCAAATTCCTAATTAATTACAAATTAAAGGTAGGTTAGGTAAGAATGGAGAAACCAGCTCGAGTGCGCTAGAATTTGAAAGTATACGCAGCCAAAAAAAATCTGCCCATTCCTTCAGACTCCCTTACAGAGCCCCTCCTCCAACACACACCAACGCGCACATGACCAATGAGGGCACGAGATAAGATGGAAGGCTGACAGGCAGGTAGGCCATCCAGTTATTTTAGCCGGGCTGGCTCAGATGATTGGTCGTGCTTTTTACAGCGCCACAGCTTCCACAGAGGACATTTTATTATGTATTTATTGTCAAAGCATTTAATGTATGCATTGCTATCGGGATGTTAAGAGCATTCCATGGAAAGTAACGCTCAAAGGTCATGTGGACTCCTTCAAAAAGAATCAGACATAGAACGACGTGCATAGCCTACTGTAATAATTAAAAACTGATGTTTTTTATGCAATGTTTTCTCTATGATTGCCTGGTCCCCCTGCCCCTCAGAAAAAAAAAACTGTTTACAATTCTTTAGAAGTACTAATGCATGATAAAAAAAACTTTTAATGAGACTTTTTGTGGCGCTTGAGGGAGCTGCCTTAGAATCTCATAAATGTTTAAAAATAAAACTTGAAGAATCTAATGACTCAACAGCATTATGGATACTATTTTATCAAGGAGCAAGAACATATGGAATACAAATGATGATATCTCTGGTAATTAATTATATTGTCCATTAAAAGTTCAACATTTTTATTATATATAAAGTGCAATGCTAAATTGGTGAAGTATGCTATTAAAAGTGTGCTAAGAGTTAAGTGCTAAAAGTTAACTATCTCAAAGCGACCAAACACACAAAACACTCATCTTGCATTCTGCCAAAGTTGTCAATATTTTATTAATCTTCAGTTAAGGCAATCCATTACAAAGCATTTCACAAACCACAGTATGACGACAATATCATGTCCAACACCTGGTTTGGAAATTATTCAGCATGCAAGTCAGAGACCAAGAGAGGTATGTAAACAACCTGGGATAAAACAGGAGTAGTGGAAAGAACATCCCATACAGAAAGTGTCGTATAGGAACAGAATGGAAAGAAACCAGAGATGCAACATGCTGGAGGTGACTGTTATCTCTAAATACCATCCCAAGTAACAAACTAAGCACGTGGCGGATGCACTAATCAGGTGAAATAAAGGTAGACGACCAAACCTCCTGCCATTGTGGCACAAACATGCACATATTGTCTAAAGAGGCTAAGTTCAACAACTGAACACATTTTGGCATTTCATATTCTTCATTCGGGGCTTATGTACATAATTAAATAGTTTAGCCTCAAAGAAAATATTAAATTAAAAGATAATCAAAGCCATTTCCACAGAGAGAAAATATGTAAATTGAATTGTTGGAAAGACATCATTTAGACTGAAAAATATATTTCATTATAACTCTGTTTCACAATTGCATAAGTGTGTCATTACTGTGCTCCTTTCATTTTCATTGATTATTTGTTTAGTACTGAGGGGTAGTCGTTTTTTAAATTTCCCTGTGGAGGAAAACTCACAGATGGCGGGGGAGTATAGTTTTTAAAATAATTTTAGTAGAAGGGCTCAAAAGCCATGTAGTATTAATAGAGGAAATATGACAGAAAGTGCACACATCATACAGGGCCAACTCCACATTATCTTATTGACTCTCACAAGGGTTTGCTATCACACTCACAGTATATACTGTACGCTGCATGCTGATGCTGACTTTTATTGTCCGCAAAATGATGTCCTCATTCATTTTACTGTGAGTTATGATTATCCTATGAAGTGAAATTTGAAGTGTTTACAGTACTTGGAAAGTCAAAATATAACAGCTATACAAGTCATTACATTATAGTATTTCATTGAATATATATGTCATAAGAAATGTAATAAATGTATGTTTATGATTTTATTTTGGCTGAATGGCTTTCTGTAGAGGTATTCTGGTATTTATGTCATGTATGTGCTTAAACGCAATGGCCTCATTTCACTGCAACAACTGAATTTGGCAACAGATCAAACACTGCTTTGTTTCTGAAGGAAAAACGTCATCCAAGATTAAAAACGAAAAAAAAGTAAAATATGGATCTGGGCCTGTGAGCGAAGGAGTTCACTTCCTCTGGAGTTTCTGCAGTAACAAAGGATGTCATTTTATCGGTGAGAGCACTAAAGTAACGGGAGTCGGAGAACAGTATGCAGTTAACAATGGTAACACATTTGCTCTCAACACAAAACAAAGTATTGTAACAACAACAGTGAGAAGTCTGTGTGAACATCTCAACAACTTTTTGTAAACGTTAGTTCTCCAGTATTATTCAATTAAACTCATTACGAGCACAAACAAGACTGAATAATGCACAACTCAACTATAAACTCACTTCAAAATAAAACTCATGAATGTTTCCTTTTTCCATGAGGCAATGTGAACAGCCACAGTTGAGTTGTAAACAAGTCTTGACTTTGAAATATTGGACAACAAGGCTTAGCAACACTTTTAACTCTCATTGTTTTAGACCCAAAGTGAAGAGCTGTTAGTATAAAAAGTACAGGACAGTAGTTGAGACAGTATGTGATAGTTTGTAAGAATCCTAATCTTGCAACAGTTTTTATCGCCAACATTTTCCGTGTGTACATCTTAAATATGAGACCTGCTGCTGCCGGCAGAATGACACCTGGGTAACTGAATTTGGATATGTTTCCATATAATAGGCACATTTGGATTGAGATATTGAGTGACAAAGAGATATGAATGGAAACAATGGCCATTATTAATAGATATGATGTACACAACTGAGCCACAATGGCTGTCATTCTCTTTGAAAACAATTCAGAGAACAAATATGAATATATCAACAGCTGACTTGAATTCAATTGTAGAACTAGATAATGAAATTGTATCTTAGGTATTAAAATGGTATCTCAATAGCCTAGAAAATTAACTTCTGAGCACAAGTGTAAAACAAATCTGTGAACAGTCAATACATTTGTAAAGTAAAACACAGCCGTTTCTGTTTTTTGCAATCCGTTTTTTTCAATCAACGCCCAAATATCTCATGCAAGATTTGTGATTGTTTGATTTTTTTCTTTACAGGGAAACAAATGTATTAGTAGACATTGGTCTTTTGAATGTGTGTTCACTTCAGAGCAAAATCCCAGAGAGTGAAACGTAACAACAAATATAATGGAAAACACAAACAGCGAGATGACAAATGTGCTATGTCATGGATTATCATTTCTTCTGCAAACAAACAGGGAGAGCAAGTATGTGCATAGAGTTACTCATCTATTTTCTGTAAACATACTGTTTTTGTGATTAAATATATGTTAATTTTAATACATCTGAATAGTATTTTCTTATAAACATTCTTCCTGTTTCATCCAGTTTAAAATAACTTGTGTGGTGCCTTCCATTACTTTCATTGTGATAGGTGTTGTATCCTTTAAACAAAAAATGTTGCGCTTATTTCCCATAATAACCTTTGTGCTTTATATCTGAATTAGTGCATTCTGTTATTATACATTTTAGAAACATGTATAAGACATGGTGCTGAAAAATCATTATGGAAACAGCTTACAGCAGGCTCTCTACATAACTGCTTGCAATCAAAACTATCTATCTGTGAAAACAATCCATGAACTGCTGAATAAGTTTTATCCCATGCTTTTATAGTACAGTCCTTATCAAAGTAGAAATGGGGATTATTTGTATTGAACTGCTCACAAAATATAAGATGGAAAACTACATGGAAAATATGACTTTAATCCCCACTATCTAAAACCCCCACAAAGGAATAAATAATTTCTGCAATAAATAAAATAAATTAGTATACATATGATATCTTAGTTCAACACACACCTATTCCAAAAGGTATCACAAACATGATACACACTGGCACATTCTAATATGTATGCCTTCAAACAGGCTCTCTCTACGGGTTTACTTGCTATCCATTACATCACCACTTTGACAGGTTTGACAGCGAACAACTAAAACCTCCTCCAGCACGAGCTCCTCCAGCACGAGCTCCTCTCAGCGCTCTCATCCTCAAACACGCAGAGAGAGAAAACTCCATGATCACCTGCAGCCTCACCCAAAGCATATTCCTCCAAAACAAATTGGAGTCTTACCATCTTTTTGTATAGCCAAATTAATATTTACGTAATGGCCTTAAAAGAGTTTCCATCTTCCCAAAGGACGGTTTTGAGTTCTTGACCACCTCTACCCTGCCCCACCACAACGTGGAGCTGTGTGTGGGGCTCAGACGGGGTTGGTCTGTGGTTGGTCCACGGGCGAGTAAGGGGGGGGGACGGGGTTCGGTTTAATGGCTCTGCTCTTCATGTAGGAGATCAATTGGTCAGGGATCTCCGCAAGTACGTCTTTAACCAGCCGCGCCATGCTCAGCACGTGGTTCCCTGTGCGGTCCATGTAGTCTCTAAACGGGACAAACTGGAAGAAATATATGACTTTATGAAAAGAACGTTTCATGTACACGGATTCATCATAAAACATCAGGATATGTTTTTGCTTTAATTCATGCTTTCCTGGTTTATTTGTGTTGGGAAAATACTGAATGTACTAATATCAGAGTAGCACATGATAACAAAGGCCCTATGCTCTGTGTACGTAACCGGATGTATGATTACCTAGAAGAGCGTCAGGACACACTGTTTTAGGCATATGATAGCTATGTGACAACGATTAACATGATGATTCAGCCCCTAGAGGGATAGGCACATGACTGTCATGTTTATTGCTACGCAGGCCTTAGCTAATCTGAATTTGCATCTTGTCACTCTCTTGTATATAAAGCATGTGAAGGACACTGTTCGGGGAAATATTTGTCCCAAATGCTCTGTGTGTGATGACTACTTCCATTCTTGCAAGGATAATAAATACATGTATCCTGATATTGAAACTCAAGCCGGTGACGAGTGATATTTTTCTAACAATTTGTAACTATCAAAAAGAACTGAATGTGCAAATACAATCTCTGAATCTGTAACGTAGGGTGTCCCAAAGTGATCATGCTTCCTCTTAGTGAATTTATTTGCAAACATGACATTAATTATCTCTACTACGCTGACGATACACAGATATAGATACCTGAAACGCCAGAATATTCTTTGCAATTCCTAAACTTAGAGACATGTCAATCAAAACACATTTTTAATCAATAAATATGAACTTTTTCCAGTTGAATGCATTTTAAACACAACTGTTAGTTTTTGGTCTAGGGCTGGAATGTAGAGCCTCAAGAGATCCTTGCTTGAATATCAAAGACAGCGTATCACTCATTGCTGCCATGCCACTGCAGTATTTACATTCCTTCATTTACTGTCATTAGGGGGGGAATGACGTTGTCCGAAAATATGCAATGGAGATATGCTTGCTAGATGTTTGTTTCTGAAAAGCAACATATTTTGAGCTTTTCTTTAAATTCCTTGTTGTCCTCTTCACTCTTAATAATCTCAATGCTCAATAGCTATATGTGATAGCCCCCTAACGCAGCGCGACCATAACCAAAATAATACATTTTTTGAGAATGAAAAAAAAACGTAATGTAAAGATTTCTCAGAATCTAAATTATAATTAGCATATTTCAAGACAGTCTGACTCGTAACTGTTGAGATAAATGTCTTTGAAATAAAAAACAAAACAATAGGCTAATCTGCATTGTAAGAAACATACCAATATTACACTTTTCAAGCAATGTAACAAGCTGTATGAGGAAAACATCATCTTACCTGTACAATGTCTCTCTCTGCCAACTTCCCCCGAGAAGAAATCCTGATGTCATCACCATCCAGCTCAACCATGGCTACAGAGAAAAGTCAATGACATGTTGATGATGATGAATCATAACAGTTATACACTGGGTCAAAACTAAAGAGACTAGAAACTAGAGTAAATATGACTTTAACAAAAAAACTATCTTTGATGCAAACAGATCCAAAAACTGCTTTTATTCACGCTACTGTTCTCACCATCGAACTCAGCTTGGCCAACCCCAACAATGATGATAGACATGGGGAGTTTAGCTGCCTGTTGTGAACAAGAACAAACCCACTGTCTGTTAGGGGAACATTTCATTCATTCATTCATTCGTATTGTTCTCTCAAAACACATCTCATTTTACAAAGTCAGTCTAACATTGGAAGCACATTTCTCCAGAGATATCAAATAATATATCTGATACATAGCCTTTTCTTGACTGTGTTCCCCATTATGTTGTATAGTTAGGGTTGTCCAGGGATTGAAAGAAAATACATTACATTGCATCTATACATTATTCAACTCAGGGTCCCAAAGGTTGTTACAAAAGCCAGCAGATAACAGAGTATTTTACCTTACTCATAAACCGTCTACACATTTACAAGCCGCTTTTACACTGTGGAATATAATGAGTTAAAGTACATAAGGTTACAACATGTTTTTGACTTGGTAACAAAGCACAAGATAAAAACAGTTAAGATAACGTGAATACAGTAAAGCATTTTATTCACAAAATATACACATCCTATACACTAAGATTTTCAGTCCTGCATTATCTATTCATGATCTTGGCATATATAAATGTTTCAAATACTATAAATCCCAGAATAAAAATGTTACATTTCCTTTCAATTTAACACCAATACAAACTAAAGTTAACATGAATAACAATAAAGATTTAATAAGGCTTATTTTCCACACAGTATGTGGTGTACAATTTCTCAACTGCATGAAACTAAACCACAGTCCTGATGTGGAGAATGAAATAGCTCTGGCATGAATGAATGATGCTTGTGGTGGAAATACATTTACAGGGGTAAAAGTGGGTCATCTCTCCTGGAAAACCCCCCCGAGGGGAGAGGCCTGTCACAGATAGGAATACATGCAGTAAGGAGGACCATCTTCTCAATGTGCTCCATCATTATTCCCTCCTTCATCTCCTTTCCCATTTTAATCTCTGCCTCCACCAGGCTCATTCCTCACGACCTATTGCTCCCGCACTAAATACATACATTCTGTTTGACCATTTCCAGCAGTGAAAGACCCCACACTCATATACCGAATGTCATATTAGATTCTGTTTCCCGGTCTGAATTATTCAGTCTACACCATACACCATTTGTCACTTTGCTTGTACTGTAAAGTCACTCAGGGGATCTCACTGCAGCTCTCTGTGTGTGTGTGTGTGTGTGTGTGTGTGTGTGTGTGTGTGTGTGTGTGTGTGTGTGTGTGTGTGTGTGTGTGTGTGTGTGTGTGTGTGTGTGTGTGTGTGTGTGTGTGTGTGTGTGTGTGTGTGTGTGTGTGTGTGTGTGTGTGTGTGTGTGTGTGTGTGTGTGTGTGTGTGTGTGTGTGTGTGTGTGTATGGGGGGGAAAGTGAGCATTAGATTAGTAGATGGGCAGTTTGGCACATTGTATGGCAGCCCTGTCATGGCTGTATGAATGTGTATGTGAATGGTTAAACATTTTTGCATTTACTCTTTTGCATGCACAACGAAGGCTTCATGTTCTCTATGGATGCATTTTTAAGACACATTATTTCTTTACACATTTTGCCAAAAAGAACAGCCAGACATAACTGGCCTCTAAACTCTTGAGTAGCAGGGTATCTGTTCTGCAATTTGTATGATTGTACGTCGGCCAGACAGGTGGAGTGTTAGTTTTGTTGATTCAGCAGATGAACAAAGCCGAATTCAGCCGTTCAAGTGTCTCTCAATCTAAAATATTCATAGGTTTTATGAAGTTACCGGTGGAGCCAGCCTCCTATCCAGAAAACAAACTGACACCCGGAGACACAATCCAATACCTGGGCACAAATTAAATTATATGTGGCCAACCAGGTCAAAAAGAGACCCTCTTTTATTATTTAAACTCCTGAAATGAAAGTTGGAGCCTAAAGGAATAACATCAAAGCAAAGACTCCCCCAGGAGCTGTCCTGAAAGATGTGTGGACACATTAGTCACCGGAGGCAAAGCTGAGCTGGTTCGATTTGGCCTGTGCAGTTTGGTCAGCAGCAGTACATTCAACATTATTACCACAGGTATCTGATATGTGCAAATAGAAAAAAAAAAAAACACAACAGCTTTTGAGAACACAAATAAGAAACCTAAAGTGTGGGAATGAGCGTTGCACATAACTCATTCTTTATGATTTACCAACACAGTCTCACTCCCTGAACGTCCAGGAGCGACGCTTGGTCAGTGTCCCGTGGCGTGCAGTTGTGATGCGCCGAGTCTCCTTCAGCTTCATAAACGGACGCAAAGATCTTTCAACTGATTGCAATGTATTCCCATCAGCGGCGGTATTTGACGCTCAGGGAAGCACCACATCGGTCCATGTCGGCGGCAGTTAAAGGCAATGTGAGCGTCCATTCCCATTGGATAACGGAGGATTTTACACCCGGAAGTAAGTATTCTCTTTACTGTCGATTAATTTTACAGTGATATCTGCAATACTCATCGACTCAAAAACACCAGATTATCCTTGTTGATTACACAACATTGATTGGTTTAAATTGTGTGCAATGCTTTTGTATTCTTCCCCTTCGATTCGGAGAAACAAATATTTTTTCTGAGTTTAGGATGGCAGAAGACACTACACTACCCAGAATCCTTCAAAACCTCTCTTAAAGAGCACCTTCGGGGGAGAGCATTGCAAAACTGGCCCCGGTAATGGTACAAATCTCAACCTGTCGTACAATGGACAGCTTCCCCCCCCCCATCTATGTATATACTCGCATTTTAGACTCTGTTACTAACTGTATATCTGTAGACTTGGTATGTCTTAAATGTCCGGTTAGGATGTATTAGAACAAAATCTAAAATGAAAATTGTAAATAAGCAATCTGTATGTAAAAAAACCACCTGTATGTAAATTGTAAATAAGCCATCTGTATGTAAAATATGTCTTATATGTCTTATATGTCTTATATGTCTTATATGTCTTATATGTCTTAAATGATATGATGAATTGGAAATGGGGGACCCTGATGTAAACAAGACGAAAGTCTTTCTCTGGTCTGCATCCCCTTAACAATTGTATGTTTTGAGCTGTACTGTACTGTACCCAATATACAAGCTGTTAATAAACTTTTCAATCAATCAATCAATCAATCAGCTATCGTTTGGGACTACACCATGTGCTTTGCTCGACAAACCCCGTGATTAGTTCTCAAGCTCTGTGATTGGTTGACCTCCAACAAAAAAAACGTTTCGTAAAACATAAAATCAAACTTTATTCAGCAGTGCTTGCTTTACTCTTTGAAAGTCATCACATGAATGCATTGTAATACATGGTTTGGCTGCATTAAATATTACACATCTGTCGTAGTTCTTTATTTATCTACAGAGATCGGGCCTCAGAATAGACCGGAAACTATTCTTTTACCGTTCTGTTTTAATTTCACAATAAAGTTAGAAGTAATATTTTTTTTTTTTTTTTTTTTTACTACTAGACCACTAGGTCATGTTAAGACCATCTTTTCTGTGTTGCTGTGGTTTTTTTCCATCACTTTTGTGTTATCAAAACAATAACAAAATATATCCGTCGTAAACTAAACCGGAAACAGCAGTATATTTTATTTTGTTAACACTGTAAACTTGACAGCTTTTTAACCCAAACCACCTACTGTTAAAGCACGTTATTACACGTTTAGAGTAATTGCAATGCAGGTAGATTGTGTTGCTTTTTAATAACTGTTTAAAATGCCTTTTTCTTAATGTCTTTCATTTTTATAAAGCACTTTTGAATGTGTTATATTTTTATGAAAACATTTAAATACTAAGAATACATACAAAATAGGATGAAAGTAGAAGGTCAATGATAGAAATATAGAATAGAACATATCAAGAAGATACTGTAAATGATATCTAGAATAAAACAGTTTAGTGCCGGATGTACAAAGATATTAATAGGAGGATGTGAAAAACAGACAAACTAATTAGGCTTTATTTAAACATTAAATAATACTTTAGGTTAAGGTCTTCTTTTAAATACATGTAAGCAAAAAGCTTTGGGGGTATCTGATAAATATTAAGCCTGTTAAAGTACTTAACGTGTAATATATTGCATGGTTTGTTTTGGGACTTGACAATCAACTTTCCTGCAATGTTAACAATGTTGAAGCACTTATTTTAACCAATATTATACATATGTATTAAACTCTTATAAGATGTATGTAGATAGAATAAGAAATGTGCAGAATATGACAGTTTAAGGGTGGAGGTACACACATATTGATAGATGTCTTGTTGAGGAACCTATGACCCAAGTTTGTCATCATTGCATAACTACACCGTAGTTGTGTATTTTATATGTCAATAAACCTTTGGAAATCTTGAAAGGGATGTGCAAAATAGCCATTATATACAGTTTTTGATGAACGATTAACGAGTAATGAATATGCTTGATAGAGATCTGCTGATACATTTTGTGTCTTCTCAAGCACCAACTATCAAATATCTCTCCTGATTGTTGGCACTTGACAATCACCTCCCCTGAATTTTACTCAGGTGTAACTAAAGTCTGATTTAAGGGTTGTTTATATTTCACATCATTCATCCAAATCTGTAAAGTAACTAAGATAAATGTAGTGGAGTAAAAATACCAGGTTAACCTTTAAAGAAAGCCCTCAGGATTATAAAAGACCCCCATCACCCCAGCCACAAACTGTTCTGTCTGCTACCGTCTGGCAGGCGTTACCGCAGCATCAGGACTAAAACCACCAGACTCAGGGACAGTTTCATCCGACAGGCCAGAAGACTATTAAACACCTGAACTTTGAAACAACATCCATAACATTCACCTGGCTGCTACTTTGTCAAATATATCGTATTCCAATCACTTGTATATAGACTCTTATTGCACTATTTCGCTATTTCACTTTTTACTATTTTACTATTTTTGTATTTACTTGCACAATTTTTTCTGTGTACCTGTTTTATTGTGCTGCACTGTTAGAGGAGCCTGTGACCTAACGGGGGGGGGGGGGGGGGGGTGGGACACGTTTGATTCCTGTTTTGGATAGTGTGCCATCGATGGGTTTCATTCCATTTCAAAATGCTGTTTGACGCTCTGTGTAAACTTCGCGCACTGCCACTCCAACATCCAATCACAGAGCTTGAGGACTAATCACGGGGGTTTGTCGAGCAAAGCACATGGTGTAGTCCAAAACGATAGCTGAGGATTCTGGGTAGTGTAGTGACTTCTGCCATCCTAAACTCCGAAAAAATATTTGTTTCTCCGAATCGAAGGGGAAGAATACAAAAGCATTGCACACAATTTAAACCAATCAATGTTGTGTAATCAACAAGGATAATCTGGTGTTTTTGAGTTGATGAGTAGTGCAGATATCACTGTAAAATCAATCGACAGTAAAGAGAATACTTACTTCCGGGTGTAAAAACCTCCGTTATCCAATGGGAATGGACGCTCACATTGCCTTTAAATGCTGCCGACATGGACCGATGTGGTGCTTTCCTGACCGTCAAATACCGCCGCCGATGGGAATACATTGCAATCAGTTGAAAGCTCTTTGCGTCCGTTTATGAAGCTGAAGGAGACTCGGCGCATCACAACTGCACACCACGGGACCCTGACCAAGCGTCACTCGTTCAGGGAGTGAGACTGTGTCACTCGTTCAGGGAGTGAGACTGTGTTGGATTTACCGTATTTCTTAGGAGCAAAAGCTAAAGGCCCAGTGAAGCAGGTCATTCAGTCCTTTGCTCAATGGGCACAGGAATTTGGGGGGTGAAGTCCAAACTGAGAGGTGGGAGGTACGCGACAGGGCCGGGCTGAGCAGTGCAGAGCAGCAGACAAGATCTTAAAAGGAAGGTGTGGCTGTTCGAAAGGTTTGATTAACAGTCGCAAATTCCCTTTAAACCCAGTCTGCTGTGGGTCAGAGCGCCCTGTTCCTGAGCCTCAGATGATGCGCTGGGTGAGAGCTCTGCCTCCGATAAGGTGAACCTGTTGACCTGTGAGGGGATCTCAGGAGAGCCCCTCCCGAGGGTCTCAATAAAAAGGAAAACATATTGGACAAACAAAACACAAGGGGTAAGACAAGTGGAGCAGAACACATCCTATAGGCTAAATCAGGGGTGGGGAACCTCCGGCCCCCGGGCCGTATAAGGCCCGCGAGACCATTTGGTGTGGCCCTCGAGGTAATTTATAAACACACGCAAAAAAGAAAAAAATTAAAGAAATCTAGACAGCAAAATAATTAAACAAGTGAGTGCCTGTTTTTCCAGGCCAAGGTCAGGGTCCTTGTACACAACACAAGCCTAACGTATCATCACGTGGTATATATCTCGTCTGACAGGGGTGTAGTTCTGACAGGGAGCAGTGAGCACCAGAACGCAGCTCCGCTCCGGCACTTCCAAAAATTGCAGTACCCATAAGGAGCCGTACACATGCTGCAGTTTTTGCGTGGCTGTGTCTTAGTTGTAAACCCAGTGGCGATCTGTCACACTGATCATACAGTCAATAACTTTGTTGTTATTAGCATCTGGTTAGCTAGCTATGCTAACGAATATAAGAAGCTTTTTCTACAACCAGTGAGGTAAAGGCAAACCTTTATATGATCATTATAGTTATAAAAAAATAAGAGAATAAAGTAAACGGGTATAAAATACTATATGACAGTAAAAAAAAGTTGTTATTAATAAACAAGAATACAGTTTGAAAGGGGAGTGATTTGTAAAATATCCATAAAGAAAAAGAAAATCTGCTTACAGTTATGTTTCATATGGGTGTTGAGAGATGTATCCATAGATCTAATGTTGCTCTCAAAGTGCACCAGATTGATGCTTTTAACTTCAACATTTAAAAAAAAAATCTTTCGGGGGGGAGCATGCCCTCGGACCCTCCTAGAGGAGGTTAGGTCCCCCCCACTTAAATCATGTTGATAGGAAACTAAATACATTTGCACACATCTTGTGTCCATATCTTTCTGTTTTGGTGGTCATGCCACAACCGTGCACGTGCATGCATGCGCGAGTCATGGTAAGATATCTGGATTCAGAGGTTGCTTTTTCTTTGCACAGCATGAAAGAAAGGTGAAATGAGTGGGCTGTGATTTTAGTATTTTTAAGCAGAGGTCAATAATTTGTACGGCCCTCGGAGGATGTTGAAAACATTGAAATGGCCCTTGAGAGGAAAAAGGTTCCCCACCCCTGCTATAAATCATCAAATCTAGTGCTACTGGCTTACAAACCCCAAGCATGAGGGAAGTTTTTAATAAGCAAGACAAGGGAGGGAAGGATGGAGAAAGGGAGGGAGGGAGAAAGGGAGGGAGGTGAACGTCCTCTGGGTAGTGTGAGAGCAGCACTTACATTCACTATGGCCTCCTTAGTCTGGGCCATGTCTGATATGACGCCGTCAGTGATGATGAGCAGAACAAAGTACTGGGACCCATCCTGCACTGCTGCTGCATAGCTAAAAACAAAAATTAACAACATAAAGTCGTTGAAGACAGTACAACATAGACTATGTTAAAGTAAATGTAAGTTCAAAATAGATTATGCAGACAATGTGTTTATTAAAAACACAGACAAAGTGGCCCCCCGCCCACCATCTGACACAAAGGTTTCATATAGACATGCAGAGAAGTGAAATACGTTGTATGGCAGCTCGTGTCTCGCAGGTCTCGCATTATCAAACCCATCAGAGGCAGCGCAGTGAGTGTGGCCTAGTTTCATTTGCCCATCGCTGGCTCCTCTATGAATTATTTATGAAACTGTTTATGCAAATGCTGCAGTCTTATTCTCTCAGAGCATTATTGATCACCTTGCAATGATTGAACACACTTGATGAGCAAAAGGAGGGGAAATCGTGGCAGAACACTGTAAGAGCCAAGGACAGGTCAGAGGTCAGCCATTACTCTCGCTCTCAAAATGGTCAATTTGACTTTGAGGCGCAAGCAGTTTAATCAAAGAGCCTGACAAAGGCAAGAGCGATGACCGGTGTTTAGGAGATAAAAAAGAGCTTGGTCTTCCTCTTCCCTGCAACAACTCACTTGAGACATTTGATCACATAGGAAGAGAAATAACTGTATGACAAAAGACAATATTGGGAATTGAAGAGTGTACATTTTTCGAGATTAAGAAATTCAAATCTCTTCGATCAAACGTTTTTTTGCATTTTCTGTATTTATGAATTTATTGGGTTTTATCGTTCTCTGTTTTTTTATGATAGGACCTCTTCTTCTGGTGGGTTGCATTTGTATGTGGATGATGCTTTTCTGTCTTTTTCACCACTGATTACATCCCTTAAAAATAATTATATAACTTCTATTTGTGTTGGCAACAGATATACTGCACTCGTGGGTGATTGTTGATGCATCGTTGTATGCAAATGAAGCACGATGTGTGTGCGGGTCAGACAGGGAAACAGTTGCGTAGTGAGGCTGCCTGGGGAAAGGCCTTGAAAAAGTCATAGCTCTGGGGCCCTTGGTACTCTAATGTGGCTTGCTCATGTATTCATGTAGTAACTGTTAACAAAGCAGAAATACAAGTCAATGCTGAATATCTCATCTAAAAATCAAGTTCAGAACTGCAGTTCACAAAGTCATTAATATTCAAGTTAAAGGCAAGTTATGATACTGAGAGCTAAATCCCAGCATGAGTTAGGTATGAATATACAGATGGGGGTGGGGGGAGTGTACACCTGTACATTATTATAATTTCACTTCTGTCTGAATCTTGACATTTTTCAACAAAACATTCGGTGCAGCCCCCAACCGCACTAGATGTCTATAAAGCAATGCAGCACCTGCACTCAGAAATATCTGGTCCCACATACTGTACTGTATGCCTGATTACCATTTCTATTCATCTCCGCTTGGCAGCCGATTGTTTATTTTCCCTTCATTAGTTCTGCTCAATGCAAAGAGAAACCATCACTCAATGTCCTAATACCTTTGACAGCGGGTCTTTTTTTTACAGATTGACATTCAAAGAAAGGACAGAGTGCTCTGTGATGTTGACTGGTACAGCAATTTGTTCTTGTACCTTGCCACATGATTCACAACTGGAGCAAAGTTGGTGGGTCCGTACAGCTGAACCGTCTTAAGGCTTTGATGGTAAGCGTCAAGAATCCCCTGCATGCCGTTACAGTACGGGTTCTCAATGTTGCCATTCTGAGAGAAAAAAACCAAAAGCATGAACAGTAGTCAGAAGGGAAACAACATTAAGTGTGCCGCAGTACCACAATGTTTCTGGGATAAGTTACTGTAATACCAAGCTTAAGAGTATCGGGAAACTTGTTTGTTAACAATATTCATTAAGCAAAATACTGTATATACATGTAAATTGAATCTTTTTTAATTCAAGACGTTTACATATAGTTCAAATTATGTTTAGCCGAGCAAAGCACAAATATATGTTGGCTATTTAATACATAGTCAACAACAAAGTCCGATTTCCCGGATTGTTGATACCATAATGTGTCTCTAACAGTAGTGAATGATACACTGGAAGAAAAGGACAAATATAGATCAGTGCCAGAAGAAATAAATTATTATCTTTCATTGTTGTGATACTATATTCAGTATTTTGTTGAAATAATGATTGAATGAGATATAGTACATGAGAGAAAACATTCAAAAGCAGAGACAAATAGATAGCCAAAAATATTTTAAACAAACATCCAACAACCATTTTCTATTTCTAAATGGGTTGAATACAAAACAAAAAGGGTGTTAAAAAGACAACATGGCCATCGGTAAACAAACTTCTAACTTCTTCTTCTAGCTTCCTAATAGCACATTTCTTAACAAACATACTGTATATTACCAAAGTATTTCAACCAGGACTCAAACTTTACTTTCAAACCCATTTACGAGTCTAAAGCATGAAAGAATGAGGCTTTAATTACATGGTGAGATGAATCTTAATTAGCTAATTTGAATGGAAACATGGAGGGATGCAGACGTTACCCAGCAGACAGAGTCCTGATGAGGCTGTACTATGCAGCAGCCAGAGCACATTAACTGGTAGAGAAGCCAAATTGATTTTAAAAGATTCTTCAGCCTTACAGAAGCTCATTTGCACTATAAAAGGTAAATGAAATTCAATCTGAATTATGCATATCGAGGTGTGGAAGTATTCATCTCAAAATGCCCACATCCATATTGCACGCTATCCATACAGTACATGAGCATGAAAACACAAATGAGTGCTCATACTCAGAGATAGGCTCCATTGGGATGGCAAAAACTAATCTTCACATATAGTCTGATTACAATTATGAACAATTCTGAAGCTGAATTAAAATAACCTGAAATAAATCTGAAATAACCCAGCGGAAACCTCCAGGCCTGAAAATAAAGAAGTGCAGAAATTACTTAAACCTGCATTCTTTCTAATTGCTAGAAGGGGGTGACTCCACTTGTTTGCAAAAATAAGTAAAATTGTATAGAAGTCTAGGATAAATTATCGCTTGATTCATTACCTCAGCCAACCTTTTCCTAACAATTGTTTTTATCTAAATTGTAGTTTCAAGTCTTGTTCAGCATGATTTTGTAACTCATGGTCTCGTATAGAATAAAATAGACGATACAGTTGGTAATGAAAGTGTGCACTGTTTGCTTTTTTTGTCCTGAGAACAAACTTGTTTAGCATACGCTTGCAGTTAGAATCGCCCTCTTGTGTCGCTACTGGTTCCCAAAATAACAAAATGGATGAAAACTTGAGGCTTTAAAACATGAATTCTACAAATCAATGATTGATGAATTCGCTCACTTCCTATACAGTCTATGTAAAAAAGCTCATATTTTCCTCACCAGCGGGAACTCATGGGAGACCCTTCCATCAGGGGGCAGCTTAGCACCAAATCCCAGAGCCGGGAACATCTTATCACTGTCATAGTCCTGGATGATCTCTCCCACGGCTTTGAGAGCCATAGCATAGGCATTCATCTGGTAAGGGTTCATGTAATGCAGTGAAGTAGACTGGGACGGATTTCCTTCCAAGACAAGAGAAGTCAGAGTCAGTGAAGCAAACCATCAGAGTGAGGCCGGACTGACAGCTGCAACCGGAGCAACGTGAGAGAGCCACAACTAAATAAAGGATCTTCTGAATCAGAGGTGTTCGATGTGACTATCATGTGCTAATAACAATACTAGGATTCAAAATGTGTCTTTTCACTTCAGGAAGGGAGGAGGGAGGAAGGAAGGAAGGAAGGAAGGAAGGAAGGAAGGAAGGAAGGAAGGAAGGAAGGAAGGAAGGAAGGAAGGAAGGAAGGAAGGAAGGAAGGAAGGAAGGAAGGAAGGAAGGAAGGAAGGAAGGAAGGAAGGAAGGAAGGAAGGAAGGAAGGAAGGAAGGAAGGAAGGAAGGAAGGAACAAGTATCGCACAATTGTACTTGTTTACATTTCTTGGTGTGATGTTATTTTCCCGGCCTGACTTTTTAGACACAACCTCCACATATACTGAAACACCTCCAGAGTGTTTTTGACTGTGTGATATTAAAGTGTTGGAGCTCATTAGGTGGAGGATAACAGAGGTAGAATGGAGATAGATGTTATCGCTATGAACTTCCATTTCCACATCTACATGAACATACCGTCTCATCTTATTTAACTATAGCATTTGGTATGCATTATGTGTCCTTTCATAACCGGCATATTGTTTTCTCTGTACCCTGCACAAGATACATGTTTTGTTTACCTTTTCTGAATTCAGTTTATAATCCTTTGTGCTATGTATAAAAGATGGAATACAACAAGCAGGGAGAGAAAATCCAGCCCCCTCTTTGATTCATGGAAAATGCCATAATGCATCAGAAGACAAATGGAAGCAGAACAGGGTGATGGCAGTGAAAACACTCACCGTTTGATGCAGTGAAATCAATGGCCACTGTGAAGTGAATCTGAGTCCTGAAACAGATGAATGGGGGAAAAAGATGGTGTTAACAAAAAAGAGGAAGGAGAACTCAGCGCTGCAGTTTGATGAAGCTCTCCCTGGTTTCACCGTGCTGCTCTACCTCTCATCTGTGAAACCACATATAGTGAAGATAATACACCTTTACGGTCTGGGCAACATAGGATCTAATCAAGTTTTTATTGTTCAATTTAATCAAAGCATACATTTGCTAACGGTCAAACAGCGTCCAAAAGGCTGTTTGACTTTTTTTAATAACACCTGAAGTCAAGATTTAACAGCACAGGGGCTGAGTCAGGCACAAATCCCTTGAAAACCATTACAAAAATAATGTAGGCAGAGTAATCTGGCTGGCTTTATAATTTGACTGAACATAACAACGAGGAAAGCTATGATTATAAACCCAGCACTAGAGCTGAGCACTGAGGGACTGCGGATGGAAATGAGCTCAAAGCTAAATCTGACACTGTTACGCTTGATACATTTGAATGTTTGAAGTGTTCATTACTGTGCATTGTCCCTGCCAAATAAACGATTAAATGAAATAAATAAAAGCCGTAAAGAGAGCCCAAGATATATGAACATTTACACAATCCTGCATACGGTGCACCCAATCGTCCCATCTAGTTATATAATAATCTTTGTTTACATTTGTTTCATTGTTACTCTCTTTATTTCACATGGTTGTTGTTTAATCAATAACACATGTGTCCTCCAGCCACTGTACGAGCTTCACAAAATGTCTAAAAACTGCTGGTTATATTTTATTCATGAACCCGCAATTAATATTCAAAACCTTAACATAAAACTAAACATGGCCTAACTAGTCTCTGCTGGATTTGCCCGTTTGCCCAGTGGGACAAACGTGGAGGGAAAGGGAAGGGGAGCATAGATCAAAGTGTGTGTTCTTTCATTGTGATTAACACTGATTGCCTTTCCTGACTTCACCTCTATTCAGATTTTCCCACGAGCGCAGTATTGGAGATAATGGCGACTTCCTCCTGGGAGACTTTGACCCCAGCTCATTAATCAGCATTGAGCTGACTGCTCAGCTGACAAAGGAACATTGTCACAATGGCATGCTGCCTCAATTTGAAACTCTCTGCTGATTTCTATGGTTAGTTTTGAATATTTGCCTAAAAGGGGGAAGTGGTAAGGTATGGTTCAGGCAGAGTGCAGGACCATAGTGATAGTCACACAGTAACTGTCAGTCAAACTGCCAATTACAGTCGATCATCAGAGCATTACCTGGGAGTTAATCCTCAGACAGTAGCTGCTACACTCTGCAGTGAGCCAGAGTATCGATATGGTCAATTACGTTCAATATCACAGTGTTTAAAAGGGACAAGTACATCGCATTACGGGTGTACTCAGTGTGCATCTGGACCCGGTGACGACATTACCTATTGACGCAGCAACCACTGTAAGTTATATTCTTGTTTAATTAGACTTCTCTGTTTCATTTATTCGACTCTGTATAATTGTTGTTGTAGCTTAAACGGCTAAATCGCTTTTGAGAGATTTTAAATCTCAGATCTGCTCAGGCGAAACCTGCTTCACAGGTCTCAGCACTCAAGCCTGCATTAATATAGGCAGGGCCAGTCTATTGATTGCGTGAAGTACAACCGCGTGACTCAGTCATTTTTTACCTTAAAAAGCATTTAAATACCGCATTTAAAATCTGATGAACTCAGTGTGCATCTGGACCCGGTGACGACATTACCTATTGACGCAGCAACCACTGTAAGTTATATTCTTGTTTAATTAGACTTCTCTGTTTCATTTATTCGACTCTGTATAATTGTTATTGTAGCTTAAACGGCTAAATCGCTTTTGAGAGATTTTAAATCTCAGATCTGCTCAGGCGAAACCTGCTTCACAGGTCTCAGCACTCAAGCCTGCATTAATATAGGCAGGGCCAGTCTATTGTCGCCCATCAGCTGTAGATAGTTAACTAATTAGAGGGGCGTGCCCCTACAGCTGTGAGAACTGAGCAATCAGGCGTCCATTTTAGGTAGCTCTTTCCTGGAGCGTCAGCTTCAGCGTCAGACATTGGAGTCCTGCGGGAGTCAAAGACTGACAAAGACATTGGAGTCCTGCGGGAGTCACGAGGGAGGCAAAGAGGAGGCAAATCCTACTCTGATTGAGCTGGTGTCTTATTTCTCTTTTCTTTAGTTTTCTAGCCCCTCATGCTATAATCATGTGTATTTTCTCCATTCCTGTTCATGTGTCCTCTCGCAATTATCATTGGCCCCGTGTATCTCCTAATCGATATAACCGGCCTGCTCTCGTCTAACCCACATGCTCCACTGACATCCAACATCTAGTTTCTGGTGGCCTGTGGAACTGCCAGTCAGCTGTTCCTAAGGCTGACTTCATCTCTGGCTACGCCTCCCTGCAGTCTCTGGATTTCCTTGCTCTCACTGAGACCTGGATTACTCCATCCAACACATCCACCCCAGCAGCTCTCTCCACTGCATATTCCTTCTCCCATACACCCAGACCCACTGGCAGAGGAGGTGGCACTGGTCTCCTGCTCTCTCCCAAATGGAGCTTTCCCTCTTCAAACTACCTAACTTCACTCCTTCCACCTTTGAATTCCATGCCGTCACAGTAACCCATCCTATACAGTTAACCATTGTTGTTCTCTACCGTCCACCAGGTGCCTTGGGGGACTTCTTGGAGGAATTAGATAATCTCCTCTCACACATCCCTGAAACTGGTCCTCCCGCTGTACTTCTCGGAGACTTCAACCTCCAGATGGGGAAGATAGACAAACTAACATCTCTGTTAACCGCCTTTGCTTTCTCACTGTCTCCGTCCCCACCGACTCATAAAGCTGGCAATGTCCTTGATCTCATATTCTCAAGGAACTGCGCTACTTCTAACCTCTCTGTAAACCCGCTCCACACATCCGATCACTTCTTCATTTCATTCTCTCTACCCCCTTTCCAAACATAACAAACTAATCTCTTCTCATCCTGCACTTGTCCGCCGTAACCTTCGCTCCCTCTCCCCCTCTACCTTTGCCTCGTCGGTGCTCTCAGCCCTCCCTTCCTCTGACTCGTTCCAACTCCTGCCACCAAACTCTGCTGCAGAAACTCTCCTCTCTACTCTCTCATCCTCTCTGGACTCTCTCTGTCCTCTCACATCTCGGCAGGCTCGTCAGTCCCCTCCTGCTCCCTGGCTAAATGATGCACTGCGTGCTAATAGAACCGTCCTTAGGGCAGCAGAGCGGAAACGGTGGAAATCCAAACACCGTGACGACCTCCTAACCTATCAGGCTCTCCTCTCCTCTTTCTCTGCTTCGATCTCTCAGGCAAAAAGCACTTTCTTTCAAGATAAGATCCAATCTTCCTATTCCAATCCTAAAAAACTATTTTCCATCTTCTCCACCCTCTTGGACCCTCCAAAAGCCCCTCCCCCCTCCTCACTTCTGTCAAGCGACTTTGTTAACCATTTTGAAAAAAAGGTTGATATTCGCTCTTCTTTTTCTGACTCACCTTTACTCATCGCTGGGTCACCAGACCCTCCTTCCACCAACACACTAACCTCCTTTTCCCCTCTCTCTCCAAGTGAGGTTCTTACCCTCATTACTTCTGCCCGCCCTACCACCTGTCCTCTGGACCCTATCCCTTCAAACCTCCTTCAGACTATCGCTCCTGATATTCTACCGTTTCTCACCCATTTCATCAACACTTCTCTAACTTCTGGTCACTTTCCAAACAGTCTTAAGGAGGCAAGAGTAAACCCTCTCCTAAAGAAACCCACTCTCAACCCGTCTGATGTTATAAACTACAGGCCTGTCTCTCTCCTCCCGTTCCTGTCTAAATCACTTGAACGCGCTGTCTTTAAACAACTCTCCTGTTATCTCAATCAGAACAACCTTCTGGATCCGCACCAGTCTGGTTTCAAGGCAGGTCACTCCACAGAAAACTGCTCTCATTGCTGTCACGGAGGAACTGCACACTGCCAAAACTGCATCCCTCTCCTCTGTCATCATCCTGTTGGACCTGTCTGCTGCATTCGACACGGTGAATCATCAGATCCTCCTTCGCACTCTCCAAAAACATGGAGTTTCAGGCTCTGCTCTTCCCTCCTCACCTCATACCTGAAAAGACCGTACCTACAGGGTGACTTGGAGAGGGTCTGAGTCCGACCCTTGTCAATTAACTACAGGGGTCCCTCAGGGCTCTGTTCTTGGTCCCCTCCTCTTCTCCCTGTACACAAACTCGCTCGGATCAGTCATTAGCCCGCATGGTTTTTTCTTACCACTGCTACGCTGACGACACCCCAATTAATTCTGTCCTTTCCCCACTCAGAGACCCAGGTCGTTGCACGCATCTCTGCTTGTCTAGCTGACATCTCTCAGTGGATGTCTGCTCACCACCTCAAGCTCAACCTTGACAAGACTGAGCTGCTCTTCCTCCCGGGAAAAGATTGTCCCACTCTTGACCTAACAATCAACATCGGCACCCTCAGTTGTTTCCCCGACTCAGACTGCAAGGAATCTGGGTGTGACCCTAGATAACAACCTGTCCTTCACTGCAAACATCGCTGCTACAACCCGTTGCTGCAGATACACGCTTTACAACATCAGGAAGATACGTCCCCAGCTGACCCAGAAAGCGACGCAGGTTCTGGTCCAGGCTCTCGTCATCTCACGCCTAGACTACTGCAACTCCCTCCTGGCTGGTCTACCTGCATGTGCCATCCGACCTCTGCAGCTCATCCAGAATGCAGCGGCTCGTCTGGTCTTCAACCTTCCTAAATTTTCCCACACCACTCCGCTCCTCCGCTCCCTTCACTGGCTTTCCGGTAACTGCTAGAATCCACTTCAAGACACTGGTACTTGCTTACCATGCTGCGAATGGATCTGGCCCTTCCTACATCCAGGACATGGTTAAACCGTACACCCCAGCGCGTGCACTACGCTCTGCATCAGCCAAACGACTCGCTGCGCCCTCGCTGCGAGGGGGACCCAAGTTCCCATCGG